CCCCCGGAATTCACCGTGTCCCCCCGGGGGGCTCTTTGCAGGTTCGCTCCAAAAGGAGCAGCTTTGACCTGGAGTTTGAGGCAGCAGCAGCCCCTCGCGGGGAGCCAGATCCCCACATTCCCCACTGCTGCCATTCCCGGGCACCGGCGCATGCCCATGCCAGGGTCCGGCATTGGAGCGGGAGAGCGGGAGAGCATCTGGGGGCTGGAGACAGCCCTGCTCGGAGGGCACCGCGGAGCTCGGCCTCACCCCCCTGCCCCACGGTGCAGCCCCAGGGTGCAAACACGGCACAGGGGGGCAGGGGGTTGGGAGTCCCTCCCGGCACAGAACGGCACCGTGACCCTCAGAGGAGCAACAACTTCCCTGGCCACCTCTGCCCAAACTGCCCAGCTTTTAGCGCATTGCCAGATCCATCATTGAGCCCACGTGTGGTGGCAGGACCCACTAGAGCCCAGGGTGGCTGCAGGGCTGAGGACACAGCCCCAGGGACTGAAGCCACTTGGTAATGCCAGCCGCTAGCCTGGATCCTGCTGGGGTGGCACGATGAGCTGCAGGGAGTCCCAGTCCTCAGGTGGGGACCTGGATGCCCCATCCTCCTGCCACGGTGGGGACGAGGGCCAGCCCCGTGCCAAGGTTTCCCTGCCCCTTGGAGCATCCTCCTCTCACCCTCTCCCCAGCTGGAGGAAGAGGAAGAGGCTGTGCTTCCTCCTGGCTCTATTTTGGGATGATCCCTGCAGCTCTTTCTGTCCAGGTGGAACCGGCGGCCGCTGCAGGATGTGGGGCTAATGCCCATTGGGAAGGCAGGGCCATCTGTACTGCTCTAGGTTGTGAGGGGACACGTGTGGGAGCTGTGCCGGGTCCGTTGTGTGTGGGCCCAGAGCAGGGACAGGCAGAGCTGCCCCTGGGACCCTGCAGCATGAGGTGCTGGGGTGCACGGGCTGCTGGCCGTGGCATTGCCACTGCCCTGGCCTTGGCCAAATCCTGCTCTTCCTCCCCTGGTGCCCCTGGCCCTGCCCAGATGTTTGCAAGCACCAGGCTCCCTAGGTCCAGCCCCATCCAGGCTCTGTCCAGCCTCTAAT